TTGACCTTCCTACATTCATCATCATTAATATCATTTAGGGTTGTGTGTTGGAAAACTCTTCATCATATTGCAACGTGGCATCTCGTACACGCACATCATCTTAATATATAGTATCATCATATTAAGTCATATCTTCATCGTACATCTTATGGCATCATGCATCATGCATCATCATATCATCATATAATCATCATCTTCATATCATCTTGTCATCATGTCATCATATCATCATCATAATATAACATCACATCATATTAACTCACATCATCATAACATTATCATCATACATCATCATATCATATAAATTCGCATCATCATCACAGTATATAAGCATAAATGACACGTGCAAGGATCACTTAACACATGTCGTCATACATAAAGTAATTCTTCCGATCGAGTCGATAGTAAAACCATTTACTTGGTTGGCCTTAGCCGACGTTCTTCCTAAACTCAAATACTTGATTTCGTCCCTAATTATCGTCAAGGTGTTTTGACTTATTAGAATATTCGCTCAATAATCTTAGTAACGTCGAATTCCTAATTTAATTTAATTCAAACTAAGGAAGTAGGCTTATACTAACCTTAATTTCCTTAAATAAGGTCAAATTCAACTATGGGAGGGTCAAATATGTAAAGAAAAATGTCCAAAAAGTCAAACCAAGTCGAATAAGCCATATTTGAGCTGAGTCGAGGGAACCGACAACTAAAAAAAGAACATGTGTCAGCTGAAGCGTTCGCTGGCCACAATTTGGGTCGAGGAAGGGTTTAGGGTCAGTCACACGAGCGTACGAGTTGGGATGTTGGGTTGTGCATGGTTGTCGGGTCGAGGCTACGATGGGCTGAGTGAAGGGTTGCTGTAGGTGGGTAGCTAACCATGGGATTTTGGGCTTGAGTGGTGGTCTGCTGCAGATGGGTATCCAAATCCGACTCGAAGTCCTGTCTTCTTCGCCTAACTTCATCGAAAAAACCTGGTGGCAATTCTCTCTCTTTCTAAGAGTTTTTATTCCTCTTTCCATCGTTCTTCCCTCCAGATCTCGAATTCTTTGAGGCTCTGTCTGCCTTCCCTTCACGTACACGATGTCGTAGTGTCCTTACGTACTTGTAAACACGATTTTTCTAACATTATTATTTCTCCATAATCCACACCTTCACCGACAATGTTTTAAATGGTAAAGCAGCCACAATATACAACGTACTTAGCACTCGAATTCTGAGAATCATTTGTAGACTTCCACTCTGTGTGCCACGCTAGTCCATTGATACTTCTTTGTTCGCGTACAATGTTTGTAGACTTCCACTCAATATGCAGTCAAAGGTTCAAGCTCTTCTTCTAGCACGTTTGAAATTTTTAAATAGTGGAGGCTGTAATAGCTCAGTTGGTTAGAGCATGTGGCTGTTAACCACAAGGTCAAGTAGCTGGAATAGGTCAATTAATCGCAAGGTCAAAGGTTCAAGCTCTTCGGTCAAAGGTTCAAGCTCTTCTCCTAGCTTGTTTAGAAATTTTTAAATAGTGGAGCCTAGAATAGCTCAATTGTTTAGAGTGTGTGGCTGTCAAATAGGTCCCTTAATTGCAAGGTCAAAGGTTCAAGCTCTTCTCCTAGCTTTTTTAGGGAATTTTTAAATAGTGGAGGTTGGAAGAGCTCAGAAGAGCTTGGCTGGTTTGAGCGTGTAGCTGTTAACCACAAGGTTGAAGGTTCAACCCCTTCTTTTCTAGCGTAATCAATATAATTTTATCAAGTAGTTGGAATAGGTTAGTAATTCGCAAGGNCAGAGGTTCAAGCTCTTCTCCTAGCTCGTTCATAAATTTTTAAATAATGGAGACTAGAATAGTTCAGTTGGTTAGAGCGTGTGGTTAGCATGGGGAGGCTGGAATAGTCTAGTTGTGGTTCAGCGAGCGTGGGAGGCTGGAATAGTCTAGTTGTGGTTCGAGCGAGCGTGGGAGGCTGGAATAGTCTAGTTGTGGTTTGAGCGAGCGTGGGAGGCTGGAATAGTCTGTTGTGGTTCGAGCGAGCGTGGGAGGCTGGAATAAGTCTAGTTGTGGTTCGAGCGAGCGTGGGAGGTTGGAATAGTCTAGTTGTGGTTCAGCGAGTGTGGGAGGCTGGAATAGTCTAGTTGTGGTTCAACAATATAGTCTAGTTGTGGTTCGAGCGAGCGTGGGAGGCTGGAATATAGTCTAGTTGTGGTTCGAGCGAGCGTGGGAGGCTGGAATAGTCTAGTTGGTTCGAGCGAGCGTGGGAGGCTGGAATAGTCTAGTTGTGGTTCCAGCGAGCGTGGGAGGCTGGAATAGTCTAGTTGTGGTTCAGCGAGCGTGGGAGGCTGGAATAGTCTAGTTGTGGTTCGAGCGAGCGTGGGAGGCTGGAATAGTCTAGTTGTGGTTCGAGCGAGCGTGGGAGGCTGGAATAGTCTAGTTGTGGTTCGAGCGAGCGTGGGAGGCTGGAATATAGTCTAGTTGTGGTTGGAGTGAGCGTGGGAGGCTGGAATAGTCTAGTTGTGGTTGGAGCGAGCGTGGGAGGCTGGAATAAGTCTAGTTGTGGTTCAGCGAGCGTGGGAGGATGGAATAGTCTAGTTGTGGTTTAGCGAGCATGGGAGGCTGGAATAGTCTAGTTGTGGTTTAGCGAGCGTGGGAGGCTGAAATAGTCTAGTTGTGGTTCGAGCGAGCGTGGGAGGCTGGAATATAGTCTAGTTGTGGTTGGAGTGAGCGTGGGAGGCTGGAATAGTCTAGTTGTGGTTGGAGCGAGCGTGGGAGGCTGGAATAAGTCTAGTTGTGGTTCAGCGAGCGTGGGAGGATGGAATAGTCTAGTTGTGGTTTAGCGAGCATGGGAGGCTGGAATAGTCTAGTTGTGGTTTAGCGAGCGTGGGAGGCTGAAATAGTCTAGTTGTGGTTCGAGCGAGCGTGGCTGGAATAGTCTAGTTGGTTAAGAGCGAGCGTGGGAGGCTGGAATAGTCTAGTTGGTTAGAGCGAGTGTGTGGCTGGGAGGCTGGAATAGTTTTAGTTGATTAGAGCTCTAACAACAAGGTCAAAGGTTCAACTCGTTCTTCTAGCATTAATTTGTTNTGAAGAGCCTAATTCAATTCACTAAATGGATTATAACATAGTCTATCAAAGAAAGATGACTAGGTTGTCGATTACCCTTTGAAAGTGTTGAAGGGCGGCTAAATATATCATACTTATATCGTTTCATAAACATATCATGACCACTTACATGCTTGGCCTAGCCAGCATTCTCCCTCAACTCAAGTACGTTTGAATTATGTCCCTCAAAGTTGTTTGAAGTCGGGAGTCTTTTTCTGTTAGAACATTTGTCTCTTTTAGTTAATAGGACCTTATAATGACCTTAAGTGCCTTGAACAAGGTTAATTTCAACTTCGGGATGGTCAGAACGGTGGAATTTTGTAAAAATCCTTACATTGAGTCGTGAAACTAAGTTTTGAGCTGTTAGAGCGGTCGAACCGAAGCCAAAGTGAAGTCGAGCCAAATGAGCTATGTAAGCCAAAGGAGTCCGCGTCTGCATGTGCGACATGTGCCACTGGAATGAGCTAATGCGTGCGCTAGTTGCATTTTGGGTCAAGGCACAGACTTCATGTCAACTACATGGGCGTGTGGGTCTGCGCAAGGGCCGTGGGTTGAGTGTGTTGTTATCAGGTCGAGGTGCAACGCTAATAGGCTTCGTATCGCGGGCTACTGGACTTGGGGAATTTTTTATGGTTTGATGCGGGTTCAGGTCGATTGACGCGGGTTACAATGTTGGGAGTTGTGGACTTAAGCTGTGTCTATCTTTCGTGGCTGACGCGGGTTGTTACTGCCTTGTCCCTACATACGTATCATTTTACGTAGCGTACCCCGAAGGGTTCTTGTGTTTTGTTGGCATCGTGCTCGTTAGAAAACAATCATTCGTCTTTCCTCGTCCTTCCTCTTGGTACCTCCTTTCTTTAACATTATGTGGAGAGAAAGATGTGTTAGGATTGATACCTGTTGTTATCTCTGATACTAGTTGTTAGGATTGCTCGACAACGCACACACTCGATCAAGATGAACACAAAGAACAGGAGAGAGAAAATACAAGGAGGAATATTGGCTAAAGGTTTTATATTGATGACTTAAGTACCTCTTGAGAGCACCTACTCGGTATATATATATGGTTTCAATTTACTAAATATAGTTTTTAAAGATTTAAACCTATTAAATATAATCTACCAAATATATCTCTATCAAATCTTTACCAAATATCTATCATATATGTGTATCAGATCTTTACGAGATATCTTCCAAATATATCTCTACCAAATCTAGCATCAGGCTCTATATCCCAACAATCTCACACTTGGACACTGATCCAGTCACCCAAGAATTTCATTCTCAATCTATACCATACCACTTGAGGCTTTACACAACCTCAATGTTCCAACATCAACATAAAATTTTTGCTGGATTCCTTGCACCCTCTATCTTCTCCAAACACATCACCATCTTTCACTAACCTCCGAGTGAAATGGTATCGATTTCTGTATTTTGTTGAATGATGACCGGGTTCCTTGCCAACTACATGACACTCTAACTATCTACCTGAAGAATCTTCTCGCGCTACTTCTTGCCTAATTCTTCTAGACAAATTGCCGATAGCGAATTACTTGACTCGATAGATGGAGGGAGGTGTCATCCATATCATCTCCTTTCTAGCTTCAGCTAATGTCACGTACTCAGCCTCAGCAGATGAAAGAGCAACACATTTCTGAAGCCTAGAAATTCCATCATCATGGCTTGCTCCTACTTAGTTGTATCCTTCAACTGTAGGTCCTCATCAAGGGGCTTTCGTGCCCCTTCATTAGTCATCAACCGATAGTGTAAAGAAGGTACATACCTATCTAGTACTCTGATGGTTCTAGATGATCTTTTCAACACTTGCTCAGGTGTTAGTTGCTCTACTTCTGGTTCCTTAGCAACAGTCTCAGGAGTTTCTTTCGTATCTGCTACAACATCACTAGATGAATCTTTTAGCTACTCAACCTCAACTCCCACTTGCTTCACCTCTTATTCCTCAGCAACAGTCTCAGGAGTTTTTTGAGTATCCACTACAACATCACTCTGTGAATTTTTCTGCAACTCAACCTCAACTCCCATTTGCTTCGTTGTCCCGATATCTTTCTTCAATTCTCTAGCAGTCTTTGTGAAGCTAACTCGCTTTTGTTTGCTCATAACGCAGTTCTCACAAGAACTCATATCAACAGATTTAAGACCTTCCAAAACTCCTTCTGCAGTCGACATCTTCATTTCTTTAACGTTCATATGTCCAAGTCTATTGTGCCATATACTTGAATTTGAAGCACTCTCAGCAACAGCAGCTCTGTTCATACACCTTGCAATGGTGTATAAAGTTTCAGATTTTGTGCCACGTGCTACCACCATAGCATCTTTCACAATCTTCCACGAACTCTAACCAAACTTTGTTGCATAACCTGTGCTATCCAACTGACCAATAGAGATTAGGTTCTTCTTGAGACTAGGAATATATCTAACATCTTTTAATGTCCACTGATTTTCTACCGGAGTTTTTATGCAGACATCCCCTTTTCCTTCAATCTTCAAATCTTTGTTGTCGGCAAGATATACCTTCTCGACTTCTAGACTTGAAATTTCGAAACAACTCTTTCTTTGGAGACGAATGAAAAGATGCACTTGAATCCAAAATCCAAGATTCAATCGGGCTGTCCATGCTGAGGATTAGAGCATCCCCAATGTCTTCTGCTAAATGTATAAAGTCATCGTCATCCTTTGTTTTGTGATTCTGCTTCCTCTTTGTACAATCTGCCCAAAAGTGATATTTTTCTCCACAACTCCAACACTTTACATTTGGTTTATTTGGAGATTTTTCTCGATTCCTTGATTTTGATCGCCCATGTTTGTTTGAGCTCTTTGATTTACTTCTTCCCCTTCGGTCAACACTGAGAGCATTGCCTGACGAATCTCCAATTTCATTTGTGAATACTTTCGCTTAGAACTACATCTCGAATTTCATCAAATTTCAGTTTATCAGATCCTCGAGAACTGCTGATTGTGGCAACAACAGTGTCCCATGACTCGGGTAAAGATGACATCAAAATCAACGCTTTAATTTCATCCTCGAAATTAATTTCCACCGAACTCAGTTGACTTACGATCATATTGAATTCATTTATATGATCTGCAATAGATCCACCTTTAGACATTTTTAGATTAAACAGCCTCCGCATCAAATATACCTTGTTCATAGTATCCGGCTTCAACAAATCTGACGTTGTCTTCTCCTTGATAATATTGAACGCCACGTTTTTGGACAGCTCAACCGGATCAACCCTAAGACCTAACAATCCTTGAGCTTCCACTGCTCCGTGGTCATAGTATCCGGCTTCACCCCCAACAGGAATTCGTGAAGACCTTTCTAGTACAGACAATCTTAAATCTGCATCTTCCAGAAACTAAAATCGGATCCATCAAACTTTTCAATTCCAATCTTTGAAATTTCCATCTTCACAGATTGTGGTGAATTTCGCCTTGCTCTGATACCAGTTGTTAGTTCTGATACCAATTGTTAGGATCGCTCAACAATGCACACACTCAATCAAGATAAACACAAAAACAGAAGAGAGAAAATACAAAGTAGGAATATTGGCTAAAGGTTTTATCTTCACCCGATCAAGATGAACACAAAGAATAGAAGAGAGAAAATACAAAGGAGGAATATTGGCTAAAGGTTTTATATCTTCAGGTATTGTACAACAACAGAGAATACAGAGAATGGAGAAAGTACATCTTGAGAGCACTGCGATTTAAACCTACTAGATATAATCTACCAAATATATCTCTATCAAACTTTGCCAAATATCTACCATATATATCTCTATCAGATCTTTACGAGATATCTTCCAAATATATCTCTACCAGATCTAGCATCAGGCTCCATATCTCAACAAGATGTTGGTCGGGATGCTAATTCGTGGTCGGTTGAAGATACGAAAATTCTAGCGCCTTGCCAGAATTTTCACATCTTTTCCTGTGATTGGACTTTTTTCTGTAACCATTAAAATTGTGATGAGTAAATTTGATGATGAAATCAAGAGCTAAAATGTTCTAGAACAAACTGTCCAAGAAAATGAAAGATCGCATTTTCGGGTGAGTTGCAAACTAAGGAGATGTTTTCAAAATTAAGACCACACACTTAAAATACATTTGTCCAAAACAATTCCTTTAGCTAGAGGAAAGAATAATGAAGAAATTCCATGTAAAAATCGAGTCCTTAAAATTCTCTAGAATCGGCTGCCCAATCGAAAATTTCTAGGTTGAGCTCCAGCAAGGAAAACGTTTACTGGTGAACTTTGGTGGCAAATAAATTAGGCTACAAAACACGAGAAGGTATGAAATCAATTCCTAGCTCTTTCTTTTATCTTTAAATTTCATGAAGAAATCTAGGGTAGAAATGTAGCAATTAGAGTTGAAGGAATGATTTTCAGGCGACATTGAGATCGATCACGTTGATGTGGCCAGTTCAGTTGAACCGGCCATGACAATCCAAAACTTGACCCTCCCTTGATTTTTTTAAATTCTAATCCTATTCTAAATTGGTTCTCATGAAAAAAATTTATGGTTCCAGAAATAGATACTTAGATTCTGATAATTTTTTTTTTTTTGAAGTAATTTAGATATCGAAAGCTTGAGAACATAGGTCCCGAACGTCGACGACGAGGTAACTAGCTCTTATCTTATGATGATTGATAAATTGGTAAAGTTTAAAAGTTATAGGAACACATTTAGAGGTTAAACCAAGAATTAGGGGGTAAAATGACCAAAATTCCCCTAGGACTCCTTGTGATAATTCAAGTTGTAAACATGCTCCAAATGACTTACTACTCTTTATAAGGTCTACTCCTAATGAAATAAAGATATGTTCATGATTTCAAGTTGATTAGAGCAAGTTTGGAACCTAAACCAAGTTCGGGCCTAAAAAACACTTAAAGGAAATAACTCAATGACTCTTACCAAAGATTCAAAATTCTTCTAGAATTGTCTAAAGAACACATTATGAGTTCTTGAATTTTTGTGTGACTCATGGATGTTACTCTAATTTATGTGGAGCTTAAGAATGCATGTTATGAATTATGCTTCTAGAAATTACGAACCTTAGAAATTATAGAATGTTAAAGATTTAGAACCAAGGAAAATACTACGCAAGCTCTCCATTTACTAAGATAAGAAGAATGGTAGGTATCACTCAAGAATAAGGGATGAAGGTCCTCAAACTCAGAAACTCAAGAACTGTTAAGACCTCCCAGGGTACAACATGTTTATGACTTATACTACATTTCTTGGAACGTAAGAAGCCTTGGATTTAGGTTTTCAGACTACTCTACTTGGAACATATGAAGCCTTGAGCATAGGTATTCAGACTATGCTACATGGAACGTATGAAGCCTTGGATATAGGTATTCAAAATGTATCGTAGGAAATGCATGAAACTCTAGATATAAGATCAAACTACATCGCTTTGAATGTAAGAAGCCTTGGATGTAGATTTCCAGACTACGTTTCTTGGAACATAAGAAGCCTTGGTTTTCAGACTACGCTGTTTGAAACGTAAGATGCCTTGAGCATAGGTATTAATACTATGCTGCTTGAAATGCATGAAACCTTAGGCATAGGTATTCATACTGTATCACAAGGAAGGCATAAAGCCTTAGATGCGGATTAGTCTAGTCACTTGGAATGCATGAAGCCTTGAATGTAGGTTAGACTGTATCGCTTGGAACATATGAAGTCTTGGACATAGGTTGTCAGGTCCATGACTAGTACCGTAAATCCTAGAGGGAGAATCTTAGAGAACGAACCAAGAATAGAGCAAAAATTTAGAAAGTAACCAAATATGAGACAACAATCTCAACTAGAACATGGATCAAGATCCAAGTTTTGAAGACAAGAATCCAGAACCATAGTACTAAAGCTCTTAGATCGGAACCAAGGTTGAGGCCTCAGAATCAAATGACTAAGGTCCTCAGAATAGTTCATGATGAGAACTCTCTTAAGAGTAGAACCAAAGGAACCTAGTACTTGCAACAAGAACCAAAGCAAGATAAGTAAGAGTGTGGTACCATAGCATATCAATGACATAAATCAAGAGCCTACAAGTAGACTACTTATTGAGTCTTTGTACTCACTCCATGTTTTATTGAGTCTTTGTACTCACTCCATGTTTTTCATATTTTTCAGGTAAATAAAGAGCTGGTCGAGGTCGGGAGTGGACTCTAAAGTAGGTGTCATAGACAAGCCTCATCCGTCGTCCTCAACCCCTTCCGTTTTAAATATTTTGTCCGTTCCATATTTTGTATTTTAACCTACTCATATATGAACTCTATTTTGATATAATATAAATATAATGTATATTATGTTTTTAATTCTCTTTGTTTTATTTTGTAAAAAAATTATCTATCTTTTTACACACTCAGTCAAACCCAAAGTCTTTCCAAACACTACAACTTCATTCCTAGAGTTGACCAAGTATATGCTTTAAGTTGCCTTTTGATGAAAAAAAAGGAATTCTTCACAAGACTTTAAGCCAACCACAAAGGAAAGACAAAACATTAAAATTCATGTATAAATTGTCATAAGTTTTTTTATTTAATTTAGTCATTTACTATCATCCCAATATTATTAATTTGGTTATTAATTTTGTAACTATTTTAATATTAATCTTATTTAATTCCATAACGTTTGATGATTCAACCAATTTTCCCTATATAATGGGCTTGTCTAGGAGGTTGATGACATCAGAATTTGACATCGGAATTTGATATCAGGTGTAACGACCCTAAATTTTCACATACTCAGAGTCGCTACTAACGTCTCATGCTCATTTATAATGTGGAAATATGAACTCTTACATGAACATAATTTATAACGTAAACTTCAAAGAACGTTTAAAACAACTTATTCTCTGGAAAACACAGTCATGGTCTTACGTGTTTAAATATGAAATACTGAAATTGAGAGAAAACAAAAACAAATACAAAATAATTTAAAACAATGAATTGCAAAACAACCATTCTAACTTAAGATTAGAAATTTAAATATGAATCTACCCTATGCACGTGCCACAGTCTC